AGACAACTATAGCATTATAATACATAACAACTTAAAAAAATGCTTGTTATAGATGAATACTTTGTGAAAAATATACGAAATAAAAATCAATTGTAATATTTGTTAATTAGTGTAAATAACAGTGGTCACTTTTATATTATCTTTGAAATTCATTCTGTTAACTTTGTGTGTGTGTGTGTGTGTGTGTGTGTGTGCGCGCGTGTGTGTTACTGGGGTTCAAACTCGGGACCTAGTACTTGCTTGGCAGGCAGGCTCTTATGCCATTGAGCTATCTCCCTGACCCCTATTCTGTTAAACATTAAAAATACCTTCTTCATCCATTTGAATTCAATTTAACTTTGATTTTGGTGCTATTTTTCTGATACTTCCATTAATCACTTAACTTTTCCGAGCTTGGAGCCAAATATATTTGTCATGGAAGCAACTGAAACAAAGAGTTCACTAGCCATAGAAAATATGCCTCATGCAAGGCAAGTTTTATTTTTTCGAGAATATCAGAAGAAAAGTGAAAGTAATTGCTTTGTACTTTTTCCTAAATGGAAACAAGCCAAGTGTAATCAATTATACTTGGACATTTTGTAAAAAATAATGCTTTCTGTTGGTATTAATAATAGGTGTACCACAGGAGAAAGACTGCAGTCAGGGAGACATTGAAAGTGAGTTGAACAAGATGAAAGAAGACCGTTGTGAGCTACAGCGTGGATAAGTGGGCAGTGTGGGTGTAATGCTGGGAACAAAGTGAGAAGCGGGGGAGGAAAGATGGTGGGGAATAAGGCTAATGGCTCTTTAAAATGTCACTATGTCAGAACATGTTCGTGGCAACCTTTTGGGTGCGTGATGGAGTGCATTCTCTATTCCTGTGCTCCAAATTACATTAGACAAATTTTGTGAATCAAAGCTCTTTTACTTTTTCTCATCTAATGATTCTGTCCCTCCTAATTGTTTTCATATCTTCTAAAGAGTAGGCTTCTCCTTTCAGCAATGTCTCTTGGTTCCTGCAAACTTACAGTTCTGCCCAGCTGATTCCTGTGTTCTTTTTGAAACTCCTGTACTTACTCTGCAATTTTATTTGCTTTCTTTACCATTGGGAAGAAAACTTCACCATATTGTGTTGAAATGGGTAGGGGTCTACAGAATAAACAAAATTGATAAAATTAATAGGACAAAAGAGATTGTTTATTTGTATGGGTATGGTAAATTGCCAAAAACTGACTATGGATTGTTAGAGATAGTTTGTTGTCCCACTGAATAGGAGAGAGCAGAGGAGAAAAATCTTCAATGAGAGGGATAGTCTAATAGCGAGAAAGCAGAGAATTTTAGGAAAAAAAATGAAATATATGATAATTTGCTTTAATAGTTGTTAATATGATTTTTTTCACTTTAGTGGCAATGCATCCCTCTTTCTTGGTTTTGCAAATTCCTCAGATAGTTAATTTGTGATGGCCTCACTCTCAGAGACCTTGCCTTCAGTTAGATAAAGGAAGCTTTTTATAAATGCTTCTTTCTGTATCTCAGATGTCTGAAGTTTAAAACAATCATCATACCAACTCTGGCATCAAAGTGGGTCCTCACAGTATCAAAGATAGTGAATGGGAAGCTGAAGGAAATTGGAGTAATCCCTGGCCAAAGATCCTCTTGACATAAAGCAGTAATTGTAAGGGGTCATCAGTGTGCTCAGGACAATAAAGAGAGCACTTGATTTGAACAGAAAATTGTGTATTAGGAAAGCAGAAACAGCTACTTGAAAAATATATGAACAAGAAGCACTTAGCTCTGGTACAGTTAGTTTATCAATGGGTGATAACCATGTAGGGAAGAGTACCAGAAGAAAATTGATTCTAGGAGGATTTGTTTACATCAGTCTCCCTGCATCTTCCTTACGTGTCCAGGAGAAACTGATAGCTGGGAAAAAATAAATAAAGTATCCTTCACAGGTAGAAATAAATGAAATTCAGTCTTACTGAACAATTTGTGTCATTTTATCTTATTGGTTATGTTTAAAAGGTGACTTATTGAAGACATTGATTATCATGCAGATAAAGATAAATGATGCAAACCCACTTATTTGTAGTTATGTTTTCAATCACCCCAGGAACATAGCAACTTTTGCAAGATAAGAATTCAAGAACCTTGTATGTACATATTTGCGTATGTTCCAAGGCAAGGTGACTATGTTACTAGGTGAACTGCATTGCTCCAAATAATATGTGGAACTCATAAGTCTTGATACTTGTGAAGGGGCATTTCTTTGGAAATGGGGTCTTTGCAGAAGTAATTAGGTTAAGGGGAGGTGATGGTGGGTTAGTATGGGCCCTGATTCAATATAGTCATTGTCATAAAAAGGAAAAACACACAAATAGCCAGATGAAGATAGAGGAATAGAGCAGAGTTATACTTATACAAAGTGAGAACTGTTTAGAACTACCAGAAGTTGGAAAAGTCAGAGAAGCATCATGTTTACAGAGTTCAGGGGGCATGGCCTCACTGACATTTTAATTTCTCTTTCAGCCTCCAGAACTATGAGAGACTCATCCATTTGTGCTCCTTTAAACTCCCTGGTAATAGAATTCTGTTACAGCAGTTCTACGGAGCTAGTAAAGATGTTAATACTGTTTTCTTGTAGACAGTAACTGTCACACACCAGGGTGTAGCATCCTTACTTTTAGGAATCTATCAGTGAGTTTCCCATAGTGTCTTTCCTAATTCTGAGTTCACACTGGATTGCAATCTTGGTTGTAGACGTGTGTTAGATGTAGTTAGATATGAGTACCTTGTCCCTCCTCAGTGAGTGTAAGAAATCAATTTCTATTTATATTCTAAATATGAAATTCTATTTATTTAAAAATATGATTTCTAAATAATATCTAATGCAAAAAAGGAATTGAAGAGGACTGACACAGAATTAAAATTATTTTAGTTTGATTCCACCTAAAATCTGTTCATATAACTTCAAGCACTTTAAATACTACGTTTTTAGCAAAATAAGTACCAAAATACTTTAGGGTTAAAACATTAATATTAAAGACAAATGAGTTTTAATTTTATTTTAAAATATTTTATATAGTATCCTATGTGTTCAAAGATAAAAAGTACTACTATTTTGTTGAAATAATTTTTAATAGGTCCTCATGAAAAAAAAACCCTAAAGTTTTGGCTACCTGTATGTAAATTCCATTAATAATCAAAGACTTGAACGACATGTTTGTGAAAACACAGATTTTGATGTTGAACATAGAATATAAGCATAAAATGTTGAATTTTAACCAAAATCTCTGCTGGGGTAGAGAAGACATTTTGGATAGCTCCGTTCCTAAATTTTGATATTCTTTTTTCTTTTTATTCATTTATGCTTTTATTTTTTTGCATGGCAGGGATCAAACTCAGGACCTTGCACTCGCCTGGCAAGCACTTATGTGGCTGAGCTGTCTCCATAGCTGATATTCATTTTCACTGGTTAGCAAGGAGATAAAATTATGTTGTGCCAATGAAAACTTAATGTAAATTGATTATGATAGAAAGTACAGGAAACAGAGGAATATATTAAATGACACTGGGGGGAATGTAGGCAGCAAACATTTTGATCTTGGAAAGCTATAGGATACATGATTTATTTTTCTCTTGATTTTTGTTTTGTTTTGTTTTGTTTTGTTTTGTTTTTATGCTGAGATTGGGGATGAGACCTGACTTTTCAAGTAAATAAATATGAGACACCGAAGAAGAGATGAATGTGGAACTGCAAATTATGAGATACTGATTAAATACAACTCAAACCAAGATGGAGCTCTAATTTGGATACTTGTTTACATATATATATATATATATATATATATATATATATATGAAGTGACTAAAATGGAATAATATATTTAATAATATTTATTTATTTATTAAATGTAGTAAGTACAGGGTCTATAGGATCTCACTATGTAGATCAGACTTGTAGTGATTCTCCTGTTTTCAGCCTCCCAAGTGCTGGGATTTCAGGCTCACGCCACCATGCCCAGTTTCAATGGCCATCTCAGCATGCCTTGGAGGCAGCGCCAGCATGGCAGGCTGGGGATCAAGCCACGGCCCATGCCTCTGCCTAAGCAGACACTTTAATCCACTGAGCTACCTGGCTGGCCCTATTTAATAATATTTAAATTACTAATATTAGTTTAATTTAACTTCACTTCAAACTGATTGATGTAACTTTCAGCACTTATTCACAGTTTAATTTTAACAAACTATCAAGGCATGGTAGCTGTGGTTCTGCGAAGTTGTTGAAATTTAAAAATATGGTGACAGGTCTGGCACGATAACTCAGCAGACTAAGTGCCTGCCTAGGCAAGCACAAGGACCCAGGTTCCATCCCAGCACCATATGCTGCACCAGCCCTGTCCTTGAATGTGCTGAGCAGGCCACCGAGTCCCGGTGTAGTGGTGCACGCCTATAATCTCAAGACTGGAGAGGCTGAAAACAGGAGGATCACTGTAAATCCAAGCTTTGTAGTGAGATCCTGTACCAAATACATGAGAAAATACAAAAAATATTGTGACGTTGCAAAGTAATCCAGCTTGGTAAGGAAAGAGAGATTGTTAAATAAGAAGAAAAGAAAATTCACTGAAACTTTTTTTGTAAGGATAAAAGAAAATTAACAATAAAAGCAATGTTGGTAGACTTTTGCAAAATAGTACCAGAAGGCATTAGGTGGGACTTACATTAATTTCAGCTGCTTCTCATGACATGAGTTTGTCTCCTTTAACTCCTGCCAGCTGGAACAGCTGATATGACTGGACGAGTACAATGTGCCCAGAGCCTCAAGCTGCATATCAAGAGGTGGTCAGACTCTTACAGACATTTCCATTCTATTCATACATTATCTTCTATATCTTCTCTCCATTACCAGGCCCTGTTCCTTCTTAAAATTCAGCAACACAATAAGCTCCTACCTTTTCCTGCCTTCCACAGAACACTGATTTGGATCTGTCTGAATTTGTGGCTTTCAAATTGCAGTTCCAAGCTTTGCACAGTGGCAGTATCGTAGCCAATGAGGTTTATCCAAGACATGATTATGGCTAATTGAAAATTTTTCTCAAATTGCAGTTTGTAAGACCACCAAAGAAACTCCTATCTTACTTTTGCTATTTTTGCAATGAGTGTAGCTTGATTGACAACTAATTATTGAGGCTAGTGGTGAAAATGTGGTTATTTAGTATTTTTCCACTTTAGCATATTTTAATATTTTTTCTACAAATTCCTAAAAAAACACTAAGTAGGACTTTTCAACTTCAAGACTTTTGAATCTAGTTATAATGCTTATGACTATATAATATTTGTCTTAACATTATATAGTGTATTAACTATTATTATTCTATTGTTATTTTGTCATAAAAATTTTTGATAAAATAAAAAATATTAATCAGAGTGATTAACTACCAACTGACCAATGTAAAACTGTTAAATGATACATAAATCTAGACAACTATGAAAATTTGAACTGATGAAGAAAGCAATACTCTTGATTAGGATGTAGAAGAATTCGAAAAAAAAGTAGAATTGCAAAGGGGGTAAAGAAAAAGGAAATACATGAATATTTCTAACTGTTCTGAATTTTATTTTCCTAATTTTATTTAACTGAGCTACCTAGTCACTCCACTGCTTAGGCAAAATCCTGTATTTCCTTTCTTTCCCTAAATTCCTCCACTCAATTATCATAAGTCTATTGTATTACTTACAAAGCACATCTAGAATCTGACCACTTGTTATTATCATACTTCTTACTACTTTGGTGAAAACCACATCATCTGTTGCCTGGAGTGTGTACAGAACAGGATATAGGTATGTGAGGCTTAGGGATGTGGGGAGGGAGAGAAAGGAAGGGAAAAGTAAATCAGGAGAAGAAAATCTAATGTCAGGGACAGTAGATAAGACCTGTTAATTAAAAACTCCAGTATACCTGCATAGAACATTTCTCAAATCTTTTTACATTGGCTTCTCCTGATAACTCATCCATGGTTTTGATAGGAAGACCTAGGCCTGATGTCAGTGTCAGGAGTGAGAGATATAAAAATAGATGGCTGCCAGTCAACTCTTGCTATCATGGCCCCTCCTGGAGCACACTCAATAGTATAGCATATGCTTCCCCCAATTTTTATTTTCATGTGGGAAGGTTTCTCTATCTTCAAAAATGTAAAATATTGCTACTCTTTATGCTTATCTTAACCAATTCTGTATAATTTGTTTTATTTTAGAATTTTATTCATAACTTTTTAGACATACTAAATTTATTAAGAACTAAATATATCTAAAATTGATTTTGTGACATGTAATAAAGTATTTTGTAAAACTAATTTGTTTTTTAAATTATTCGTTTATTTATTTGGTACAGGATCTCCCTATGCAGCTTGGAATCATTGATCCTCCTGTCTCAGACTCCACAGTGCTAGGATTGCAGGGGTGTGCCACAATGCCTGGTTTCAGTGGCCAGCAAGGCACGCCCTGGGTTCTGTGGCTGGCATGGCATGTGCTATCAGAGGTGGAACCTGGGTCCTTGCACTTGCCAGACAGGCTCTTAGACCACTAAGCTATCTCCCAAGCCCTTTGTTTCTGTCTTTGTTCAGGACAGAAAGAACCTAGAAATATATATATATATATATATATATATATATATATATATATATATCCAAAAAGGGACAGCTGAGCAATCACTCCTTCTTTTCAACAAGTCTTTTTTTTTTCAACCCAATCAGTGAGTCACAACACCACAGGTAATGAGAGAGCACATGTCCAGTAGGTAGGATCCACATCCCTTTCAAGAAGCAGCAGCTGTCCAAAGATGGAAAACTGTACTTTCTCCTCACCTCATTGAGTATTATGGTCATATATGTCTCTGAGGGGAGATGGGAAAAAATAGAGTCTGAAGCTGGCTTGGAAAGCAGATGTGAAGTGTTAGTTACAAAATCTCAGGATACTTTCACAAAACAGTTCGCAAAGCCCTGAACATGGATTTCTTGCAGGAACCCAAACAGATCATTAATAGGACAACCTAAACCTTGTGTCAGCCTCAGGAATGGGAGATACAAGAACAGACAGTTAGCATTTAGTTCGTACTGTCGTGTCTTTTCACAATAGCCCAACTTCCCATTGTAATAATGTTCTTTATTTCCTAGCTGTGTTTGACTCAAACTCACTCTGCGGAGAATGTTTCTTTTTTT